TTGGTTAATTTTCAATTACATTTTCAACTTCATTGGCTGTTATTAGGTTTAGAATTTTGTATCTTCTTGATTTAGTTCTGGTTATTCAATTGTTTGTAGGAACCTATTTGTTTTCCATCCTATTAGAATATAAGTTCTCATAGTAGTTACTGATGATTTCCAGCATTTCTGTGGGATCTATTGTGATTTCGTCTTTTTCATTTGTAATTGCTTGAATGTGTTTTCCTTCTCTTGATATTGGCTAATGGTTTATCAATTTATTTTTTCAAAGAACCAACTTTTTGATTTACTCTTTATATCATTTTCTTAGCATCTATTGCATTGCTGTCTGCTCCTACCTTTCCATGTGTTAATAGTGTGTGTGTGTGTGTGTGTGTGTGTGTGTGTGTGTGTGTGTGTTTTGTCATTGATTTCCAGTGTCATTGCACTATGGTCAACTGGTACACATAGAATGACTTCTGTTTATATTTACTTCAACATGTTTTGTCAGTTAATATATTATCTATTTTGGAGAATTTACACATGTGCAGCTGAGTAGAATGTGTGTCCTTCTGTACGAGTATGGAATACTCTATAAACATCTACCATGTTCATTTGTTCACAGCTTGGTTTAATTCTATTATTTCTTTGATCTTTTGTTTAGTTGATCTATCCATTTATGAGAGTTGGGTATTCCACACTACAACTGTTGGTGCTTATTTGGTTTTTCATGTCATTTATGACTTGTTTTACATAGTTGGGTGTACCTATATGGTACATATTTATGATTATCTCTTCTTCTTGGAGTTTTCCCTTACGTAATGTGTAGTGCTCTTATTTCTTGATCAGTTCTGGCTCAAAGTTTGCACTGTCTACAAATAGAATAATTACCCTTGCTTTTTTTTCTGGGTTCCTATAGCATGGAGGGTTGATTTCTATGCTTTGATTTTTATTCTATGAATTCCTTTTCAGGTTAAATATTTCTTGAATGAAGCATATTGCTGTATCTTGCTTCTTGATCCATTCTACCAGTTTTTTGATTGGTGAGTTGAGACCCTTTATGTCGATGGTTATAACTGATATACATTGGTTTTCCTTTTCCATATTGTTTCCTTGTTGTCTACCCGTGCACCCTCCTCCCCCAGTCTTTCTATGTTTAACTGCTTTTCCTGCCTGGCAGTTTCTTTCTGTTCGTGTTCTAGTATACTTGGTCTTCATTATTTCTAATATGTCTTTCAGAGCAATAGGTAGAGTTGGTTTAGTGTTCATAATTTTCTTCAGTTGCTCCTTGTCATGCAAGTATCTTATTTCTCTGTCAATTTTGAAGGATGATTTTGCTGGGTACATCAATCTGAGTTAAAGATTATTTTCCTTTATGGCTTGAAATTACCTTACTACAATCTATTTCACTTGCGGGTTTGTGTTGTTAAGTCTGCTGTGATTCCAACCAGCTTTCCTTATAGGTGATATGTTTCTTCAGCTACTTTTAATATCTTTATCTTGTGATGAATTTCTGGAATCTTGATTAATATATCATTGGTGCAAAAAGAAATCACCATCAGAATAAAACATATTAAAGCAGACACAGATAAACAGATAAAGGCACTTAGGAAAATGATGGAAACCATGAATAAAAAACACAAACAAGAAACGGAATCAATGAAGCAGATCCAAACAGAAATGCAGATTAGAAATTCCACTGAAAGTATATATAGTAGATTGAATGAAGGGGAAGACATACATCATATCTAGAAGAAAGAATGAAACTAGCAGCTATGAAAAGAAAGATATCTTAAAAGTCACAATAGACCACAAAAAAGTCAATCCAACAGCTACAGGATGAAAGAAGAATAAAATAAGACTGGTGGGAATCAGTGAGAAAGCTGAAGACAGCACAAAAGCCACTAAAAATCTCTTTATAGAAATAATGGCAGAAAACCCCAAATATGGATAAAGAGTTTGACATAGAAATAAATGAAGCACACAGCGCACCAAATAGCCATAACCAAATTAAGTTGACACCAAAACATAATAAACAAGAGTCCAGAAATTCAGCATAAGAACAAAATTTCTCCCCATTTAAGTTGCAGGTGCTGAGTACTTTGTCCCAGTTATAGGACAGTGGCTAATATAGAAAATTAGTACCAGAGAGGCAAGGCCTGTGTTATAACGGTACTAGACTATATGGTTTACAAGATCTTGGAACCTGTTTGGAATTTGAAAAGGTTTGAAGATAATGGCTAAATAGGCTTGAAAAAGCTGTAAACCAAGTTTGGTGGGTGATTCTGGTCAGAGGTCAGAAGGCCAATATCCTCATAGGAAGGCAGAGAGTAAGAGCTAGGTTTCAGTTGGGACAAGGACAGTATCAGAAACTGGCCTAGAATCACACATACCTTGTTCTGGCAATTAATTTCTTACATTTTGTTTGTTTCTGAAGCATTTGTCTAAAGCAAATTGATATTGGGGATAAAATTTCAAGCCAGCTCAACATTTAGGCTGAAGTGTAGATACTCCAACTGCTGTTACCTAGAGCCACAGAAACCAGGTGTAAAAAGCAGAAGTGAGTAATTTAAGAAGGTTGCAGTTTGACCTGAAAATGACTTCCCTGCAGCATCAGGAAAAAGGATAGCATGGTTGCTAAAAAGATTAACATTCAAAAGAAGTGGTTTGTATAGGGACAAGATGACTTCAGAGAATTTCAGAAATAAGCAAGAATCCAACCAATGTAGGTGTAAACTTTTAAAACTAAATCTTTAGATTTTGGAACAGTCTCTCAGACACCTGTTCATTCAGTGCCACCTCGGGAAGAATATCATCAGGCTCAGCCATTCAGCCACTCAGAGGCCTCTCTAGTCGTATCTCAGAGAGTCCAGGTACCACTTCAGCTGTCAGCCAGTGGTGCTGGCTGTTCATAAATGCTGAATACAAGATACTGGGATCCTAACAGCTTACGAAAATTGTAGGACTTGGAGACCAGGCAAAAATATATCATCAGGACAAAAGTCCCTGCCAGAATCACAGAAAAGGGCAAACCAAGAAGCTGCAGGTGCAATGGAGACCCCAGGCAGCTGGAAATGGCAGGAAGAGTGTTTGCTGAGGAAAACTACACAATGCATAGAGATACAGTACTCCCTCATTTATCACGGAGGTTACATTCCAGACACCCCCATGATAAGTGACAATCAGTGAAGTAGCAATATTGTATTTTAGTATTTACATGTATTTTAAGGCTTTGTAAACCCTTCCAACACTCTTATAAACCTTTCCCACACTTTTAAAAACATTCTAATGTTCTTAACCATTTTCTAAACTTGTAAACCTACATAATTTTAACCACATATGTATACTGTATGGTACAGTATGTATCCAACCACTAAGAAAATATACTGTAAAATGTGTTATTTCAACTTAATCTTTCAACATTAGAATTAGCATTTTTATAGTTTTTTAAATTTTTAGGCAAAAATCATTAGTCATACATACTACATATATAAGTATGTATAGACTACTGCAAAATCCCATGATATAGTGAAAAATCCACAATAAAAAATTTAGACATTTCTTGAAAACCCACAAAGCGGTGAGTCCATGAAAGCTGAACCACAACATAGTGAGGAAGACTGTAGGTTGAGATAGGACTACTGTAGGTTGAGAATCAACAAAGCCACTAGGAGCTAAGGCAGCCTAAGCTCTTTGGAGATCACATCTTACCACAACCTGCTCCAAATAGAGCTGCTGGGTTTATTCTTGCTTTGGTCCAATTTTTATCAGTGTATTCCTTTTGGATGGGAACATTTTCTCTGTGCTATAAAGGCTGGTGGTATTTTATTTTTACAGGGGTTCACAGATGAGATTTTGCCCTGAGTCTCAAGAAACTTATAACTTTGTCTTTTTCACCAAAACCAGTTTTAAGACTTTTGTGATTCAAGATTAAATGCACTTTGCAGGAAATGAATATAAAGCCTCAAAGGAGAAAGTTATAACTTAGCTGTTACATGTCCCACAAGTCTCATACGTTCAGAGGTAGTACCTGCTTGGAAGAAGCAAGTCATTTGCGTTATGGGAGGCCATAATTTAGAAGGGTATAATTCTTGGCCCCAGTTCCACGCCTTTCCTATCTGCCATGCAGTGAACAGCCTTCCTCTACTACACTGTTCTTATAGTTGGCTGATGATGGACTGAATCCATGGGAAGTGTGAGCCAAAGTTAACCTCTTCTTTAAACTATAGGTGCCAGGTATTTTGTCCTAGTGGCAGAAAAATTACTTAATACCAAGACCACAATAGTGCTCCAATCTCAGGATTCTTGCCTGTACAATTGAAATGTTAAGAGAAAAAAACAGGAAAACAGGAATCTAAGAAAATGAAGTGTTTTGCTGGGCCAATAACTGTAACTATAAGAACAGACCTGGAAATCCTGAGAATTTCTATACACCAACTCTCAAAGCTAATGATTGGAATATTTTGGGCTTTTTTCTTTTTTTACAATGGGTACATTCCACTATCATTTACTGCACTCTCCTTTAATCCCAAGTATTCATGCATTTTGTATTTTTATTTAGTGACACTTCAAGTATTTCTGAAACTAACTTGCACAGCACTTTGGCTTTGGAGAAAGTGACCCTAAAAAAAGCTTCCTCCTAAAAATGCTGGAAAATATGGTACATGTGCTGTAAAGACACTAAATCCACACGGCTCACTGTAACCAAATTCTGCGGACTGTCACAATAGTAGTAACTTCTCTCAAGGTGATGGATGTATGGACCCTCAAATTGTAATGTCACACTCACAAAGATCAAAATTCTAACCTAAAGAGTTTCTGTCAACAATGGAATTTAACACCAAATCGGACTGAGACCTTTCCTTCACCAACCCTTTTGAAATATACAAAGTACCAAATAAGCTGTTCAATTTTTGTTTGCAAGCCTAATTCTGTTTGCATTCCATTCCTGATTGTTGGAGAGAAATTTAAGATCAAAGGTGGTTTAAATTATAAAGCCTTTATTACAAACCAGTAAGACAAATACTTTCCTGACTCGGGGACTTGGAGGCAGACAAAGTCCATTACACATTCCGTGTGAGAGCCAGGCACAGTGACACATACATGAAATCCCATCTATTACAGATTTAAAGCCAAAGATCAAAAAAGCCAACAAGTTCAAGGCCTGCCTGGGCAAAAAAAAGCAAGACCTTCTCACAAAGTCTTATGTGGAGCAATAGGTCCACAAACAAAACATGTCCTATAAGCCACCAAAATATAGCTTGAGCCCTCTTGGCTAATGAGAGGTCACTGCCTTACCTAAGACAGCAGTCAGGAGATCTTATGTGTCTCATAATTCACTACAGATTATGGATAAAGTGCAAATTCCTGCCTTCCCTGGGGATGGTTCAGTAAGCTGGAGAAATTGAGAGGGCTTCAGCCATAGGTACTGACAGTGACTAATTCTTGAAACTTTTGAGCAAGTCAGAATGTGCAAAATAGTATTTGAAGTGTCCCACATACTTTGTATTCATAAGATATTCTCAAATTCAACATCTAGCTGAAATTGTATTGAAAGCTCCCCTAAAGTCTTCCTGAAGCATGAGTTTTCTGGTGCCGAATGAGGTGGGAGCTTAAGCTGTAGGCTTTCCCACATTCACTGCACTCATATGGCCTTTCTCCAGTGTGAACCTTCTGATGCCGAACAAGGTGGGAGGTTCTGATGAAGTCTTTTCCACATTTGCTGCACACAAAAGGCCTTTCACCAGTGTGAACCCTCTGGTGTGCAATAAAGTCAGAGCTTCGACTAAATAATTTTCCACAATCAGTGCATTTAAAAGGTTTTGACTCTGTGTGAATTCTCTGATGCTTAATAAGAGTGTATCTGTGGCCAAAAGATTTCCCACAATCACTGCAATCATAAGGATTTTCTCCAGTGTGTATACTCTCATGTTGAGCAAGTGTGGACTTGTGTCTGAAGACTTTCCCACAATCATTACACTTGTAAGGCCTTGCTCCATTGTGAACTCTCTGGTGTACGATTAAATTGGAGTGATGGCTAAAGTATTTCCCACATTCACCACACTTATACGGCATTTCTCCAGTGTGGATCCGTTTGTGCTGAGTAAGGTTGTCTTTTCGACTAAAGTTTTTTCCACATTCATTGCACTCATAAGGCTTTTCTCCAGTATGGATCCTCTGATGTTGAACAAGTGTAGCTTTGCGGCTGAAGGCTTTCCCACATTCGCTGCACTCATAAGGCTTCTCTCCACTATGTATTTTCTGGTGCTGGGCAAGTGTATCTTTGCGGCTAAAAGCTTTCCCACATTCACTGCACTTGTAATGCATTTGCCCACAGTGAAAGGCCTCTCTACTCTCAGCACTCTTGGTTGTTTTCCTCTTCCTGTGGGTGACTTTGGGCTGCTTACCAGCCAAACTGTTCTGCTCCACCTCACATATAAAGGGCTTCTCTGATGAGTGAGGTTCTTCACAAACTATCCAGTTCTTTACCAATGAGGCTTTGCCTTCATCTCTTTGTGAAGGCCTCTCTACAATGTAATGTGCTAGATTTGAGTGAATGTTTGCCCTGAACCAGAATTGTCTCCCACAGGTTTCACATGTGTAAGTTTTAGGTCTGTGGTATGTTCCCTGGTGTTCGTTCAGGTACAAGATATCTTTCAAGATTGGGCTACATATGTCACAAGAGTGAGGCACGTGGGAAGACAAACCTGCCTTGGCAGTACTAAAAGGTAACACTGCTACAGAAACACTCTCCTCAGCAGGTGACTCTTCATCCTTCACTGCATACCAACAACCTAAAGAGATAAACACACTGTTAATACATGATAATTTTAGTGGGAGGAGGCAACATATGTGTCTAACATTCTCAAGATTCTATGACCACGTGATTGCTGGCAGGACAAGGCAACAATTGGGACAAGGCAACGATCAAAGTCTGACATATAGAACAGGGATCTAAGGGTAACAGATGTGGAAGGCATTTTGAGAGACAACAACATAAGGATGGGTGTAGTCCATGGGAAAAAAAAAAAAGTAGGCAAAGTCTTTAACCTACTGCAAATATCTTTTAACACCACGGCCTGAGCTGTTCGTTGGTGACCGGTGAATGCTATATAAAAATTCATATCCCAGAAATACCTGCTTAAAAGTGACTGATACTCAAGGACTATGTGTGCACGTCAGGTAACAGTGGGTTGTCCGATATTGGAATACAACAAAGGGAGGAGTCAAAGATCCTTCAGGTAAAGGGTTTGACAAGGAAGACTCGGGTGGAAATAAGTAGCCAGATTAGGGAAGAAAAGATAGAAATAAAGTACACCTTCCAGTCCTGGAATCAAACAGTACTAAATGTAAGGTATGTTCTTGATATTATCTGAACACACTCCTTCACTCTCACTCACCAGGGCCCGTCCAAGCCCCTCCTGTAGTGGTTAGAGTCATGCCCTTTCAGTCTGGCACCCAGCGTTCTCTCTTACAATAGTTCAGCAACCATAAAGGATCTGGAAGATACAAGTCATTGGGAGGATACAAAGATAGGACAGGTAAGTGAGAAAGCATGAGCCCAGACTAACTAACCCATGTAAGACTCTAAAGAATACTGTAAAATCAAGGATTGTAAGTAACTTGAACAGTGGGTGTCCCACAAGGCAAGCAAACACTTTAACACATTTTAACTTGATAAACAAGTGATATCTTTGCAATATGAAGATGTGATACCAAATATCATATGACCACAATTGAGCTAATGGTTCTTCTCCCCCAACCCTTGCTGCAAAATTGTGGGTGAACAGATCCCAAACCCGAAAGGTTACAGAAGGACAAAAACCGCAGAGGAATACACGAAATTAGCAAGATGTGTAAAATCTGGGAAACAGTGCAAAATTTTATAGAAAACACACTACCGGAATAAGGGTGACAAATTTGTTTAACAAAAATACAATGAAACATTTCCATGAAATCTTCAAAAGGAGGCATAAGCAAGTGTCATTGAATAGGATCCTTATTAAAAGTGAATGAAAAGAAAAATATTCCATTGAGCCTAAACACCTGTGATTCCATTAATAATAGTGAAAGTGGTCCTACACAGTAACTCTTCTCTCTCACCTGCACAAGGTTTACAAAGGTAAATGCAGGTTAATTTATTTTTCTTTATATTCTCTATTTTATTATTTTGTATTTGATTATAGTACAGTGGTATCTTGGTTCACAAAACAGACCTTTTCCACAATTCTGGTCACAAACCGAGTTGTATAAGAATTACATCAAATTCAATGGTTAGATTAAATTACTGGGAAATCTCATTCAGTTCTCATTCAGTTCAGTTTGTGATCGAAAAATGAACAGAATTCAGTTCATAAACTAAGACACACGACTTGTAATCCCCTCCTTTTTTTTCAGGACTGGGGGTCAAACTTGAGACCTTGTGCTTGTCTGACAGACCCCAGTCCTGTAATCCATTTTATGTGAATATTTTCGGGTTCTGGACATACTATTTCTTATGCGGCAATTGGCTTTGATAAACATGTGCTTTGGATTATAAGCATGTGTACAGGACAAATTATGCTCACAAGGGCCAGCCAAATAGCTCAATAGATTAAAGTACCTACAAGCAGCCACAAGAGCCTGAGGTTGAATCTCTGGGCCTGATGTGCCGGCTCTGCCCTCGGGGCACACTGAGCCAGCAATTGAGAGTGGGTGTGGTGGTGCATGCATGTAATCCCAACTCTTGGGAGGCTGTAAACAGGTAGATCACAAGTCTGATCTAGTAGCAAGACCCTAAACACCCTGTAGAGCCTTCCTCAAAAGTACAAAAAGAAAAAAACAAAAAATTATACTCACAAACCAAACTTTTAGTGCAGAATAAAATAAAAGCTATTCTAAAGGAATAGCCCAGGGGGGCACAACGAACCTAAGAACTAAAATTCATGACTGGTGGACCAAGGAAACTCCAATTAGAGAAAGGTGGCAGAATTGTAAACGGAAGCGGTCATGACTCTGGACAGTCATCCCAAACAGGGCTGTCATCCCTTGGATTAACAATAAAATCACTGGCTCCCGAACTCCAATCACATCTAAATCAGGAAGTAGTTTGGGAACACAGACAGCAAGGAGACAACATGGAAGAGCTGGGCCTCGAAACCCAAAAGTGCTATGTGAAGGAGTCAGGGAAAAGAGGAGTACCTAGGTGACTAACCCATGGAGAAAAAAGAACAGCTGAGCTCCACCCAGAAAACTGTGGAAAGCGGGACCTTAGTCATGAAAATGAGTTAAGTGTGAGGCACAGAAAGAACTGCATTGTGATACTATCTATATTCCGAGTCTCATCAAGCAGCTTCCACTCCCACCAAGAAAAGTTCACAAAGTCACTGTCAAAGGTCTCGGGTCCCCAAAGTCATCAAAATGCTGTTGGGTGAGATGATGAACTGTCCGTGGCTTCAACCCTCCCATCTCTCACCATCAGGGACCACAAAAAGTAACATGTTCAATGACTCTTTCAGTAAACCTGCTCTCTTGAGCTGATGCTTCCCACCTCTGAGACCTCCAGCACAACCTCCTCCCCAGAACTCCAGATCGGAGTGTCCTGTGCCTACGTGCTGCCGCCACCTGCGGGACACCTTAATGTCTGAGGCCCCTGAAAGATGGTTCCTGCTCTCACTAACCCACTTTTGTTCTTCTAGAGGCTCAGGAAAAGACAGCTCAATAGCACGTCATGCCTCATATTTACAAGCAAATGTAAATCAGCGGAAAGCCCTGCTGGCTTCATCCTCACAATTCTCTCCAGAACCGAATCACTGCCCGAGTTCTCCACCTCGGCATCCTCCGGTCCCGCCACGCCCGCCCGGGGCTCCCAGCCGCCAGGTCGCCGGCCCGGTCAGCGGTGCGTCCTCCGCGCGGACCCGGGGGCGCTCTCACCTGAGGTCCCTTCCTGCGGGGCGCGGACGGCTCTCGGGGCGTCCTGAGGGCGGCCTCCCGCCTGCGAGCCCGGCCTGGAGCAGCCGGGACCAGCGAGGCGGGCCGCAGGGCGCGCAGGCGAGGGCGCAGAAGGCCGCACGCACCTCAGGCGGAGGCGGAGACTTCCCGCAGCGGGCACCGCCGGCCTCTTTGCTCCAGGGACACCGTCTCCACTCGCTCCTTGCTGCGCGGATCAAGTCTGGAAGCCCAACAGCCTGGCCCACCACTCCGACCGCCGGGCCGCGGCGCCAGCAAGATGTCCGAGGAGCGGGCGGTCCCGGAAGTCCCGCCCACGGCGCGCGCAGGGCCTTCTGGGTAGCGTAGTTCTCGCAGGCGCTCGGCCTGCACTGCGCAGGCGCCTGCCTGCTGCAAGGCCCGGCCCGCCTGCTGTCCTGGTGCTGCACTGTGGCTTGCGCATTCCTGCAGTCGTTCGGGGGCGCCGGGCTGACAGACGCACTTAGCTGGCCAGGGCTGAGAATGAAGTTAGATCCCGCGCCCTGCAGGTGTCTCGTCTAATTGTTCTTTTGGGCCCAACGGGCTTTCCCCTTGGGGCTGTACTGGCTCTGAGCAGCTCTTTCTTAGCGGGCAGAAAGTGGGTCCCCGCGCTGGGCAAACATCTCTTTTTTTTTGTGGAGTTTGGTGCAGTACACAACCTGTAAAACTGCACGAGGGATCGTTGCTGGCTGTGCCCTGCCCTGTTTCACCTGTTTACCAGGCCAAATAGCCAGACCTGTGGCCTTCTGCATAGGAAACCATAAAACAATGACTTCAGAGACCACCCAACTACCGCTGCATGCGGGGAGGGGGCCCTACTGTCAGATAGTCACCATCCACGTGGCCCTCAGCTCAGCCACTGACTACTCTGTCTAGTACCAGTATGAAGCTAAGTACTGTTTCTGGCTGCACGGCAGCAGCCATTTGTTGTGTGGCAGGTCTGGGGCTCGACCTATCTACACACCAGGCATGTGCCAGTATTCATCGCAGAATCTGCCTATAGGGGTTTTCTTTGATTCCTTGAGTAACTGCAACAATGGAGTATAAAGAACGTCTATATATTCCACCCATCCTAACATCTAGTATAACTCAGAAAAAAGGGAAACTGCTCTGTATTCTCATGCTCTCTGTTAGGCCAACATTGGCACTTAAATGACCTCTGTCTTAGGCACAGACATCTGTGAGGCAACCACCTGGCCACTGGGTAGATAGCTCGCACCTTTACAGAGACCTCCTGGTGCCTGACACACAGATCAACAAAGCAAAATATGCAGCCGCTACCTGATTCTCTATGAGGAATAGAGGACCTTCTCCCCATCCTATAATTGTGAATAAAATCCTAAAGGCATGCACAGTAGTTCTGTGTGCTGACACAAATCCCAGCAAAGCCCTCAACTGGACATTGCATGAATGTCCAGTCAATGGAGGTGCCTGGGTCAGCCACCTGCAGGGTTCATGCCAGATGACCAGCCTACTTTGCCACCCCAAACGTCTGCTCAGCACCTCTTCTGCCTGGTATGGTTGGCATTCTTTGTATGATCCACCTGCTTAGCATCTTTGACCTATTTCAAGCTATACTCTTTTTACTCAGATTATACAAGAGTACAAGTCCTGGGATAAATGCGTTTTTTAAAAATGCCCTTCAATAGTCCCTGGAAATCCTATGAAAGTTTTGAGTTGTTTCATTGCAGTAGAGGGAGGACACCGATATCTTATGTACAGCAGCCTCTGATATTGCCTCTATACTGCCTGACCAGACAACTCTCAAAAACTTGACAGAGTCCAGCTCCGTGGACCCTGAGCTATCCAATGGCTCATTCACATGGTGCCAGGCACCACTTGAAACCACCTGCAGTGTGCTCCAGACATGCAAGAGAATCACAGGGTAACATGACATCATCAAGACAGCGAATAACCACACGTCTTGCTGGGCTAGTCATGCAGCCAAGCCCTCTGCCCTCAGCCAGTTGTACGTAGTAGGGTTGTACAAGTTGCCCTGTGAAAACACAGTGAACATTCATTGCCTTTCTTCTATGAAGGTGAAGTGTCCTTGGCTCTCAGGAACTCTGTCTAGAAAGAACACCGCTGTTTCTTGTCTTAGCCCCTAGAGGATGTCCATGCTAAGCATGTTCTCAGGTAACAGTGTGATGTGATGGTATAGGCTCAAGGAGGCAGACAGGATACACCCAGAATCACACTCACTGGTTTTACTTTGATGGAAAAAATAATTCTTTAAGTTGTGATGTCAAATATTTTTTCCAAGCAATGAGAAAGTGACTAACACAGGGCCCTCTTCTTTGAACTGCTTGTTTAACCAGCTTCTCATCATGGAATCATATGTATTAATTGTGTCTGTTATTTTCCATGTTTCATGGGGTTTCTACACCTTGGGAATCTTGTTTAGGTGGGAGAGAGACTGCCGCTTCATAGACTAGCTAATTGTACAATGTAGTCAATGACTTAGTTGGGAGCATATCTCTCATAGGTGAGCTCCCCATCCCCTTCACCTCAATCTTACACACCAAAGGCAATGTTGTGCATGGCCTAGATCAACCCAGGACCAGGCCTCAGGCAACTAAACTCCACTTCTGGAACCAAAAGCCCTTTGGACCTACTCAAATTAGCCACTCTGCAGTTGTCTGCTGTGCTCTGCTTGTCTCATCATCATTATATATTAAATAATATCAGTTTGGAGAGACAGTGAAAGAGGTCATTTAGAGCTGCCAGAGAGTAAACATAAGCAGGGATTCTAAAATTGTATATTTATTCACTAAGCACATAAATCATACAGACTTCTTTGTAGTTCTTAAAACAATAATTATGGTAAATATTTAGTTTCAGTGCAAAAATTAGGAGCAGAAAACTAGTTTTTAAATCTGTATTTATTTGTTTATTAGGTACGGGTCTCACTACGCAGCTCAGACTCACAGTGACCCTCCCATCTCAGCCTCTCCAGCACTGGGATTTCAGGCATGCGCCATCACATCCAGTGTCACTGCCTGCACGACGTGCCCAGAAAACCAGGGTAACAAAATGAAAATACATATAAATGTACACTTTATGCAATGTAAAATTCACAAAATAATTTTAAAAATCAGCAGATTATTTCACATATGCCTGTAATCCAGCTACTGGGGAAACAGAGGCAAGAGAATTACAAATTTGAGGCCAGCCTAGGAAGCATTAAGAAAGGCTACCTGAATTAGAATTATAATGGTTTGAGGTTGTAGCTCCATGGCAGAACACTTGTCTAGCATGCACATAGCCCTGACTTCTAGGGCAAGTATCATAAAGCTATTTAATAATTGTAATGTAAGTCCATGAAATTTCTATGCATCCTTGTGAATAGTGGACCATTATTTTTTCACTACAAAATGGTCCTTCATTTATATTCCCCTTTTTTATTTACTTTTGTCAGAGATGTGTATTCCATTGCCATTCATACACTGTAGGTGTATGAATTCAGCAAAGTAATCCAACACAGTCCAGTAGTCTACTATAGTAGTGGGTTACCTGCATGACTGGCAAGGCCAGAAGTTGTTGACTTGAGGCTTTCACAGCTCAGAATATTAATATGGCTTTATGTTTTCTATCTCATTTTTATACTTTTCTGCTGGATGATTAAGACCAAGATAAAGCAAGACCGATATAACAAGAAATGTAGTTTTTTGTCTGACAAGGTCAGTGAAATCCCCTCAGGATTTACCCTGAAACCCTGTACCGCAGTTTGTAGATCTTTTGTCAGTGTCAGCCAAGTGGATGAGTCACAGCCATTGCTTGGCCAGTGTGCTCTCTGTGAATGTTCATCTCCATGTGACTCTCCTCAGGCACACTCTACATCATCGATCACTTTCCTCTGTGGCCCCATAATCTCCTTGATCAGAAAATTTGGGACATCACTGAGTTACAGGATGTTACAGTACAAGTTTTCCTATGTCCTGAGTCCTCACTGACCTTGAAGGGCTAGGGCCAAAATGTTGGCCATTCTTGTACCCTTTTTTTCTCTAATTTTTTAGTCTGCAAACTTAAGTTGTTAACCCTCCAGAAGAGAAGCTTAATGATATTATTATCCTAAAATATAGGCTGTTGAGCTTAACATCAGTATCTGTCTGAATATCAAATGCCTTAGATATAACATAGAACAGGTATTTTCCATCAGTCGTTGATATGCTAAACTTTACATCCATATAGAATGTGAAAAAAAATTAAATTAAAAAATAAGTAAAAAAATAAAAATAAGTACATGTTTTTACACAGAAATTTAGAAATCTAACCATATACAACATTGTAGCAGGACAGTTCTATGACATTTTTTTCTTGTCTCTTCTTTTCTTTTTTCCATAATTTTATTGAGAAACAAATAGCAATGAGACTGTTTCAAACCAAATTGATAGGACAGTTTCAATAATTAACACATTGCATACATTCTTCCTAGTGATTAATTGCTGTACAAGCTGTGGACATGATATCCTATTTACAAACACTATTAGAACAAATCCCTCTATTCATTACGAGAATGTAACTATATATCTATCCTAACCATTTTGAATACAAAGATACAAAATGGACATTCATCTGTATCCCCTTTTCTTGTTTAGTTCTGTTATTTGAATATTATAGGTGTGTTAACTCAGTAAAATATTCTAAAAGAGTCCAGTAGTCCATAATAGTATTGGGGCTTCCACTTGACTGGCAATGTCAGAAATTGTTGAACTGACACCATGGCTTTACTTCTTGTATACTTTTTATACTTTTCTACTGGATGGTTAAGACCAAGGTAAAGCAGGACCTGTGCAACAAGAGTTGTAGCTTTTAAGTCTGATAAGGTCAGTGAAATCCCCTCAGGATTTATCCTGAGATCCTGTACCTCAGATTGTAGAACCTTTGTCAGTGTCAGCCATGTGGATGAGTCACGGCCATTGCCTGACCAAAGTGCTCTCTGTGAAAGCCTGAGAGAATGTTTTCTGTCCATGTGACTCTCCTTAGGCACACTCTACATCATCGATCACTTTCCTCTTTGGCCCCATAATCTCCTTGATCAGAAAATTTGGGACACTACCGAGTTACATGACATTATAGTACAAGTTCTCATATGTCCTGAGTCTTAATTGACCTTGGAAGACTAGGGCCAAAATGTTGGCTTTCCTTGCAGCCCTCCTTTTTCTCTAACTTTGGTCTACACATGTAGGTTGTTAACCTTCCAGAAGAGAAGTTTATTGTTATTACCATACAACCTAGGCTGTTAAGCTTACCCTCACTATCTGTATGAATAT